GAATACAACAGACACCCAGCAACCTCAACACTCTGATCACATACATCTTGTAAGTATTCGTATGCAATTTGTATTCTCAGCGATAATTTTTACATTTTGCCTGAAAAATGCTCGATCACTGGAGTTGTGTATTTTCTATCGTTATGGCAACTGGACAGCTGATAGTGTACTCGTTTTACAGGAAAAGACGAAAGATAGCAGCTGTCAGACGAAAGCTTGCATTGGTTGTCTTCGTTTACAAGACAAGACTCGTCAGCTTCAAAATGCCATCAAAGGCTACAAGGAAAAGATTGAAAAATTAAAACAAGAAAAAACGACAGCTTCCATCGGTAGGTTGGATATTCGTAGATTTTAGCTTATATTTATATGTTACTTTCTTGTTTGATATGTTATCTAGAGTATTAAAAATAAAAGTGATGATGTTTTAAAAGTAAAGGGCAGTTCAGTGCCTTTCGAAATCCAATGCATTGAACCAAAATCTGCAACATCCACTGCAACACTTTCTGTGCAGGTATCATAATAATATGAGCCCTACATTTTCTCCACAGGTATCCAGTGTGCAGTTGCTTATGATGATATAATTGATTATGATGGCAATGATGAGATGACAGAGGAAGTGGCTTCAGAAATGAGTGATATCGAGGAGGACGATGATGATGATGTTGAAAGAGTTGAAAATGAAGAAGATGAAGATTGTTTTATGTCAGATGATGGAATGTTGAGTGATGATTACCAGCCAGACAGTGAACCAGACACAGCTGGGGAAGAGGATGGTCAAGATGACACCTGCCAACAAGACGATGGGTAAGGTTTAGAAAAATTATCAAGGAATATCTAGAAATAAATATGGCTCAAATGATCTTTTCATTGGTGTATTTTCAGGTTTACAAATTTGAGAACAGAAAGGAAATATATTGTGTTCGTGTCAAAGTTGTTACTGTTGTTTCAATTTTGTCACTTGTGTAAATCTGACAACCCATTAGTTGAGTATCGTGAGCGTGGTACAATGATGACAGTCACAACGGTTTGCCAAAACCCAAAATGCCACAAAAAAGAGTTTGTGTGGAACAGTCAACCCCTTATGCCTGGCTCCAGGATTCCTGCAGGAAATTTCCTTCTTTCATTTGCGATACTACTGTCAGGTGGCTGTGCTAGTAAAGTGCTCCAGATGTTTTCACACATGGGCTTAGCATGCATCTCTCTAAAAAGTTACTTTAAACATCAGAGGGTAAGTTCCTTAACATAAACAAGACATTATTTTATTTTTAAAACCTTTAATACCTGTATAGAGATTGGCATTCCCTTGCATGGCTCTCAGCATCCAACTGCGTCAGTATTTACTTTCAATATATTGTCTAGTGGGCAAACCAAACAAAGATGCAAAGCACTTCCAAATGAGTTTTATTCTCATTACCTTGATTACCTTTTGATATGCCTCTATTGTGTTCTTATACATATATAACCATTTATCAATTAGGAGACTATTCCTTGCTATATATGTGCACTGGAAGAAGTATCAGACACAGATCATGGAGAAGCTAAAGGGGACTGAAGAACCACTGATAATCTCTGGTGATGGAAGATTTGATAGCATGGGCCACAGTGCAAAATATAGGACCTATACGATATTTTGTTGCACTACTTTTTAATTATTATTTTACATCATTTTATTGTCCAATTATTATGATAGCATGTTTTTTATTACTGTGTGTCTTTGAAGATTTATGTATCTCTTGT